ATGTTTGGTTTGAAAATAGTGACGATAAAGGTAAACAAAGAAGGCACAGAGTAGACTAAGTTGGCAAGCAGAAAGTTGAGGCTGAAGATGCTCATGAGTCACCAGACAAAAACCATGGGAATTTATATCAGTCCTCTCTGGATTTCAGGGGACAGTAAAACCTCAGCTGCCACCTTGGGTTCACCTTGATTATAGCAGACACCGTCATCCACATGGCATCTTCTGTGATTGTACATGACATGCACAGTTGGAGGGTGGGGGGCAGGGTCAGGGGGTGGGGGGCAGGGTCACGGTGAAACACAGCTGTCTCCTCTGTGGTCAGAGACATGGTGACTACAATTGGTACTAGAGGGTGTTCTAGAAGAAAAGCAACGGGTTTTGGGGTCAGATAATTTTCCTTTACTCAGCTCAGATGTAGTTGCTAAGATCATGATAAGACCCTTAACCCTGTGTTATATATTTTATTGCAAGTTGAGAATTCTTGCCTGGGTCTGGTCATTATCATTCAGCATGAACTTCACGTGGGAATGCTGCATTCCTGAGCTCTCCTTCTGTACCAGACACAAGTTCACACACAAAATCAAGGGCAGTTTTATGAAGACAGAAAATTACATCTATTCTGTTTACCCCTGTGTCCCAGGACAGTGTCTGTCCCGCACTAGACACAAAATAAATATTTGTCGAATGAATGAAAAATTAATAGTTGCTTAGTAAATTTTTAAAAAGTTTCTTAAATAATGCATTCCAATGAGCAGGAGCGGGAAGAAATGTGCTGATTGGTGATGAATGAGAAGTAGACACCAAAAATAGGCAGAATGTGCTGATCTATGTAACCCATTATCGTGCTCTCTTCTTCTTGTCTGGTGCCAACTAACCTCATGTGATGCACAGTGGAAGCATGGTTATTTCAATTCTTTGCCTGGGGAATTTTTTTTTCCAACTTATTCACGAGTGAATTTCAGTGTTTGCCAACAAATGGAAGCTGGTTGGCTAAAATGTACTCTTTTTTTTCATGTTTTTTGAAATCTATTTCTTTTGTGTTTTTAAGCAAACTAATAATGCATCTGACCTGGATTGGGTTGTTGGAAGCTATTCCCAGAGGTTCTAGAAAAGGGTACCGGTCTGCTTTTGCCTGTCACTGTGTATTCTCGGTCACCTGTATCCCAATCTTGCTGCACCAGGCTGACATCGGTGACTGAGCTTCATTAGTTAAACATCTTTCAGTTTCTGGGTGATATCAGTTTTCTCTGTGAATGGAAAATATGCTTGTCAATATCACATGCATGAATCTTGGCAAATACAGTTCTAGGGAGGCTTAAAATTACTTACCAGACTAAAAGCTTTTATATTGTGAGCAATTAATGTAATTAAAATACTTGGTTACATCTGATGGCCTCATTTTCTGAATAGAGTAGTGATCACAGTAGAATAAATGCATATCGATCAAATATTGGATTACTTTTGCCTTCTGAATTTTTGTTTGATTTTTCTGGGTAGTTTCATGTTGTGTAATCTCCTGCTTTCTTTTTCTGGCCTGTGTATTATTTGTGTCAACTAAATGGTGGCTATCTTAATTTCCTGGGGCTAATGTAATAAAGTATACAAACTGGGTGGGTAAAAGAGCAGAAAATTCCTGTCTCTCAGTGCTAGTTCTGGGGGCCAGAAGTCTAGGATCCAGGCATTAGCAAGGTTCTGAGGGTCACGAGGGAGGTACTCAGTTGTATGAGATTTGAGTCAACAATGGCAGTTGTATTAGATTTGGGCCACCCTAAGGACATCATCTTATCTTAATCATATGCAAAGACCCTATTTCCAAATAAGATCCCATTCAAAGATACTGGGGGTTAGGACTTGAACATCTTTACAGGGGGACACAATTGAACGATAGCGGTAGCATATCATTGTCAAGGAATGGTGGTGTAAGGTCAAAGTAAATAAGAAACAGAAATTTCTTGGGGTGTTGAGCAGGGCCTCAAGGGGGCCGAGTGCAAGGTCCGATGGAGAGAAGCCAGCATCGTGGGAATTAGGAGTTATAGCGAGTCTTTTGATTGCTGTATAACAGCTGAGCCAAAGGCAAATGGAAGCCTTTTTTTTTTTTTTTTTTGGAAAGAGATAAATAGGCAAAAAAGAGCCAGATTTCAGGCCCAGCTTTGCTGTTTTTCCAGCTAGATAACCATCATCTGCAAACCTCATTTTCCTTGTCTGTCATAGAGGATCCAGTAATCTGTGGCTTTTATGAGACTATCTATGTGAAGTACCCAGAACTGTACCCACAATTTGGCAGAGCTCAAAAATGGAAAGCCTCTCCTGTTCCCTTTCCATTCTCCTTCACTCTGTTCCTTGGATGGATCTTAAAATTGCCCACATTAGTGACTGTAAATAAGTGAAAGTGTTATAGCCTCACACTGTAATTGTTGAAGATAGGCGATTGAAGGATGAGCTTGCAGATCTATTGTAAAAAACGGAAGGATTCTGAGCTGCTGCTCGCCTCCCATTCTGGCCCTGGAATTGGAGCTAAGGCCTGGGGCTTAGTAGTTCTTCCTCAGATACTTGCCTTTGACCTGGGAGATTGTCATGTGAAACATGAGCACCAGATGGCTTTCAGAGGTGGGGGTATTTATTGGATGAGTCAGTAGGGCTGACAGGCTTGTGATAAGGTCAGTTTTGTTATGTCTGAAATGCTTTGGATCATTGCCTAGAATTTATCAAGCTCCTACTCTGTGCCAGCATTGGGTGGGTGCAGGATGGCTGCCTCTGAACACCTTGACTCTTCCTTCCAGGGAAGCATGGGCTGTCTCCACAGGTGTGTTCCTCTACATAGGGCCAGGTGAGCCAGAAGGAAGGGTTCTGCTACAGGCATAGAGGGAGAGGCTCTGAAGACTCACTTCATCTGTTTTGGAACTAGTGCTGAAAAACTAAACTTTACTCCTTAAACAGTGGTTATAGTGATAAGGTTAGAGTAAAACTTTTTGTTGTGGCAGTACTCAAAGAGACAACCTAAAAGCAGAGCCCACTGAAAAATTACTAGTGTCATAAAAACTACAGTGTTATAAAAGAGGCCATCCTGTCAACTAGGCCCAAGAAACAATGTCCTAACAAGGAAATTGGGAGAAAAGTTAGAATTCAGGCACGGGGGCCTTGTTTAATCCTAAGAAGGGGAGTAGGCGTGGGCAGTCTCACAGAAACATGCCATTCCCTGACTTAGCCATGCTGACCTTCCAGAAGCATCTCAGTAAGACACAATGTTGGAACTGGGTCAGAATTTAGATCTTGTCTACCCCAAGTCCCTCAAATTACAGGAGGAATCAAAGTGCAGAGAGAGTAAAATAACTTACTCAAGTTCTTGGCCTCTTTCAGGACAGTCGGGTCACTTCCAGCCCGATTCTCTTTCCTTTTGGAGTTGCTAATGAGAAACAGCGCTATGATCATTTCAAGTTTTTAATTGTCAATTTCTCTGTCTATTCTTAAAAGTTGGACTTGGACTTTCTGTCCTTTTCCACATTTCTATCAAATTCAAGTTAAAAGTGGATGCTGAGGTCTTCTGAGATTTAGACTTGGATTGTTAGAACTAGAATTTAGTAGCTTGGGAAATCTGAATTCTTTCCTTCTTATAGGGTTCCTTCTTTTTCTGCAAATGTTCATCTTGACAGTTTATTGCTATATAATCAGTCCCCTCGCTCTTCTCACCACTGGATTGTGGTTCTCACCAACTAACTTCCAGGTGTCAGGCAGCTGGTTTCCTCATTTTGATTTCTTTCTAATTTTGGGGTACCTCCTTTATCACCCTGGGCTCTTTTTTGTATAGACTATTTTAATGTCTTGGCCTCATTTCAAACTACAAAGTAGGTTTGTAATTAGATGCTTGCCAACTCGGGTTGATTTCAGAATAAGCCCTGGTTTTTAAATACTTTTCACTAATTTTTAATACTGGCCTTATATGACAACTTTATTTGTAATCTTGGATTAGAAAAAAGAGTTATATCATAATGTTCAAGGCTGGGAATGTCAAGTAATTCTGTTTGTTCTTCATGGTTCATAAGCCACAGGCATTCAAACAAAGGGATTATTATGTTGGTTCTGTGTTTCTTAATAAAGCTGGTATCCTGCAGGCATTTATTGCATGAATACCTGGTCTTATTAGTGTCCAGACAGAAGAAGTCTCTCTCTCTACCTTCTGAAGACGCAATTGATAAATGAGCTCGTTAGCCAGGTCAATGGGTGGTGAAAGGCATTTTGGAAGCCTACGTTGCCACAAATGTTGTTTCAATTTGACTGTTTCATAACACACCAGTAAACCCATTAGTAAGAACTCCCTGATTTCCAAAGTCGTCGCCAGTTCAGATTATCTGCAGTGACCCCAAGATGACTTATCAAGGAAGAGCTGGAATATAAAGACGCTAGGGTTCTTGCCAGGCTGGGCCGAGTCTGAGTTGACCCGCCAGAACGTTCTTGCTCTCTATAGGGGTCAGGAGACTCCTGGGAAAAAGTCCTTTAGAAGCAGTCTGAGAGCAGGGAGGAGCTGCCCCCAGGGCTGCTGACCCACGTTGGTCCTCATCACGAGGCTGCCCTTTGGCCAGTCCTGTTCCAGCTCTTTCGGCTTCTCAAGTAAGTGCAGGGACTTCAGTGCGAGATAAGATGTTTCAATGTGTGTTCCCTTTTGCAGAAGCTCTGCATGCTGGGACCCACTGAGCCATTGGGCATATGTTGAGAGGGACATCTGAACTCTGGGTAGGGACCAGATTAAGATGTGTTTTCAGTGTTTCTCCAAGGATTTCAGAAGAGGTGAAAAAGATGAATTTTTATCTCTCAACTCATGAAATTCTAGTCAGTGTTGCAGAATGAGGGCTGTGCTGAGTCCTTCTGGACTCTGGTGTATGTTATTGACTACACTTTTGCAGAGGATCGGGAAAAGACTGTGAAACATGACTATTCACGCACTCCCTACATTTCTTCATCTTGCCTGTGACTGGTTCTGATCAGCGAAATGTGAGTGAAAACTTTGACTCTTGCTTCAAGGCCTAGGTGACAGTACATACTGTGCATCTCCCCCAGACCCCCTCTTTACCTGTCCCCATCTCTTTTAGTCAGTGTTTTCTCCACTGTGACTAATTTTCTGACCAGAACAATTGTAGGGGAGGAAAAGTCTATTTGAAAGCTCATGGTTTCGGTGGTCTTAGTCTATAGAAGGCTGGCCCCATTTCTTGGGGTTCAAGGTGAGGCTGAATGTCATGGTGGGAGAGCGTGTTGAAAGGAAGCAACCCATATCATGATCAGAAAGAAGAGAAACTCCACTCGGCAGACACAAATCTATACACCCCGTGGCTATGCCCCCAGTGAACCACTTCCTCCAGCCACACACCCCCTGCCTCCAGTTACCATCAGAGATTAATTCACTGATTTTGTTAAAGCTATACCCCAGTCACTTCTCCTCCAAACCTTCTTACACTTTCTCACACGTGAGATTTTGGGGGATACCACACCTAAACCATAACACCATCCATGTTGTGGGAAGCAAAGAGTCCCTAAGAGGTGGTAAAAATATTAGAAAGAGCCCAGGTAATAGAGTCACAGATTAGAGAATTACCACCAGAAGCCTGCCCAGCAAGCATTAGATTGTGTGTGATGGAGAACAAAAAAATCTCAATTGGGTTGTCACAATGGCTGGTACAGTCAGCTGTCTGTGGTCTCAGGTTCCACATCCATAGATTCAACCAACCTCAGATTAAAATATTCAGAAAACGATGTTATGCTCTTGCTGATGGTTACAGTGGCCGTGTTTATGCTGAACATAAATAGGTCATTTTCTTGTCATCATGTTCTAAATAATACAGTACAACAAGTATTTCTATATCATGGACATTGTATTATAAGTCATCTAGAGATAATTGAAAGGCTATGAGGGTGTACTCAGGGCATATGGAAATACTATGTGGTTGGATGGAAGACTTGGATTTTGGTGCTCACCAGGGATTCTAGAACTAGTCCCTCTTGGATACTGAGGGACAACTGTTTATTACCCTGACCAATCCAAACTACTTTAAAATTTTGATTTGTTTATTTATTCATCATACTATGATGGGGAGGGCATTACTATAATATAAGGAAGTGTCTACAGAGGACATCATTAGGGAATTTATTTATTTTAATGCAATTCTCTTTGTTCATAGTGAATCATGATTAGGGTTGCAGCCCATGATGTAGTTTGTAATGCTATACCATCAAAAGTTCAGGCCCACAGCTTTTCTTCCCAATAAGTGTATTCCCACATGGATTGCACAGTCCCTAGCTTCTATCACGCATTAATACACAAACTAATCTGCCGTCACAAAGAGACACCCCCAAAACAAATCAATGATTATTCAAACTCAAACAGAACAGGCGTTTGTCTTCCTCTCATTTAACAACCCGAGTGAGGTTGACCAGGGAACCAGGTTCTTTCTATGTTGCGACTTTACCACCCCCAGCCCAAGGCCAGCTCACTAGTGGCATGTTTGGGAGTTCCAGTGTGTGCCCTGGCGTGCAAATAATCTCATGCCTGTGTGACAGGACCCAGAGCTGCATGTAGAGCTTCTTTCACATCCAATTGGCCGAAGCATAATCACATGTCCACTCCTGGCTGGGAAGCGTCGTCTCTGCAGCCAGGTGACCGTGTGTCAGACAGAACTTGGGAGTCGTGTCACAGTGGAAGAGAAGGAGCATGGATGTTAGGACAGGTTGGGTGCTTTTCATCTGATGATTCACAGTGGGTTTCTTGCTTTTGAGCATCTTCAGTATCAGAGGAGATCAGTACTGTCTGCTACGGTACCTTTTCTTGCAAATGAGGACCATTGGACCATCTCAGGTAACGTGAAATTCCATTATGATGACACAGAATTCTCTTTTTTTGTCACCCTACTGAGGAACTAAGGTATGGAAAATATCCCTTCCTGTGGTATTTTCCTGTGTTTTTTTCCCTTTCTGCATTTTTATCAGTGCACTGTAGCCACACATAATGATGGGATTTGTTGTTACATGTTTGTACCAGCACACAATATAACTGGAGTGTTTTTAAAGTGCCCTTTGGAGAGCCTCACCTGTGTTGGCCCTCAATTAGGGGTGTCATGGAGGCTGGGGATGAGCTCAAACCTTTATTGCCAGTTAATCAGGCTGAATGCCCACCATGAACATGCGGCTCCCCCTAGACCCGCTGAGCGCCAGCCCAGTGGAGGGTGGGGTGTGCTCAATGGGACAGTGAAGTGAGGAACCTCAGGAGGAATAGTTTATCCTAAGGTGAGGGCTGAGATGGGGAAGGGGAGATTCCGAGCTCTGTGAGATTCTCTCCTTCAGAATGTCACCATGAATTAAAGTTTGAATTTTGGTTCAAGGAATCTGCTGCCAAGCAAACAAACAGAACAGGTGGATGTAGATGTACCTGCTGTCCTCATAAAACCCTCTGTGGGACATGAGAGCACAGGATCTTAATAGCAGAGCTGTTGATGCAGTGGAAAGACTCTCTGCTGGACTCTGGCAGTAAGGAGAGACAGTGCCCTTGGGTCAGATGAGAGTGTCCTAGGTCTGGCATCACATGCTCAGAGCTGTGCCACTAAGGAAGGTATCAGTCACTGTCCCCTGGGTGAGGATTAGCAGTGGCCAACCCCTCTGTGGACCCTGGAGCACGGTTGCCACATTTGGAATTGGCATTAGTAGGACAAATCCTTGCAGAAGACTAGAATCAGAGGAGAAGGACTTATTTAGTCGGAGAGGGTTCTGGATGTGGTGTAGTGTAGAAAGTGTGGGTCCTGCAGAACTCAGAACTGCATGAGCAGAAGTTGGGAGGCTCTAGAACTTGATCCTACATGGCAGATGGATTTAAGACCAGAGCTATCCGATGACAGGAGTGTAAGATTTCCTCCGGTGTCTCTCCTTGCCTCTCTTGGCCTTCTACAAACAGGCACCTCACAGTTAGTGCTCTTGATCTGCTTCCCCCTGCTGAGAGCCACAGCCGAGTGGGAATGAAGCTTGGCATTTTTGCCAGAATGAAGTGGTTGAGAGGTGACACCAGTGAGCCATTGAGATGATGATGGTTATGTTAAGCTGTGTATTCAATTGTATATTAGACCCCTGTGGTCTGCCTTGGCCCGCTACTTTGGAGTTCTCGCAGGTATTCCTGGAGAGTTGGTTGGGGAAGTGCCAGAGGAGGGATTTCCGGTTGGTGGTGTTTCCTGGAAGGGCCACCTGGGTGGAGTTCGGGCAATAAAGGAGTTCCTGTTTTGAACCTACAAGTGCCTCGTGGCGGCTTGGTTATTTTGTGCCCAGTCAGACTGTGGCATCCCCCAGTGCAGGAGACCACCTAGGGGAGTGCTGAAGATAGTCACTCTGCTGTCCCTCCACCTTACACTGCCCTGATTTCCAGGATTCCCAGAAGAGGGACGGCTCCAGCGGCACACCCTTCGACTCCGGAGAAGGCAACCCCAGGCTGACGTCAGTTCTCTTCCAGTTTCATCCAAATCCACTTTTCTTTTGCGGTGCCTTGGCCTCACGGGGGCATTTGATGCACCTGAATCAGGGGTCTGGGACATAAAGAGAATCACGCTATCCAGCAAGTCTCTCTTGTTCTATGCTCTTTCGTTATAGGTAGAAAAATTAATTTTCTATTATGATTATATTCTGCTTGTCATCAATCTTGCCTCCTACCATTTTAATCTGGCAAGACAGTGCACCAGAAGAAAGGATATAGATGTCATTTTGTCAAGTGACTCTAGAGAGGGTTGGGGTGTTGGGTTAGTTGGCATGTATTGAAAATATTTTAACAAATATGTTTTGTGATAGAAGGATCAAGGATAATAGCACTAATTTGACTCCTCCTTTCCAAACAGAAAAAAAAAAAACATGTTGAATGCTGCCAGGTACTGGACGCTGGACAAGCCTGGAGGGGCAACACTGAAGAGATGAGCCCTGCTCTCCTGGTGTTTACTAGGCCTGCAATTTCATGTTCATACACCTTTTATATGTGGGGATTTTTTTGTTTTTTGGGGGGACAGAAACTCAGACTCTAAAATTTCAAATGCACCTCCACAATTGAAATGGCTCAGTTTAGAATTCTAAATCCTCATTATTTGGCCCCAAACCACCTTGAGGGGTGACTTTCCTTCTAGTTAGTTTGCAACAGCACTGTGGGCTCTTTCAGGAACTGTTCTGGCTACCGAGATTCATGCAGCTTCCCCATTCCTCTTGGAATTCCCGTCCTACATCTTCCCCTGGAATCTGTCCATCGTTAAAGCCTGCCCTGGTGGAGTGGAGCTGTGAGTCGCAGGTCCCTGGCATTCTCCTTCCCCACCAGATAAATCACAACTGGACACAGTTGTGTATCCAGGTGGGAGATTGTGGAAGAATGTTGTCCACAATGGACAGAGATTTGGAGAAAGCCAGTGACCTTGGATAGCAGAGCAAAGGGTGAACCTGTTGCCCTAGCACCAATTACAGGGTAGAGTGGCAGGGATGGGGGGAGTCCCTCCAGCCCTGAAATTGGCACCTTGCAGAAATTCAGTCTAAACATAAGAGACCTGGAATCTGCATTGCAAATCCCGGGCTTTGGAGAAGTTCTCTGCCCTTCCCAGGGTTTTCACGGTGCCCTAAGAGGGACCATCTTGAGAAGGTCTTGCCTGAGCTTACTGCTCTGGGAGCCAAAGGCCCCTGCATTTTCCTGTGTCTGGGTCCCGATGGCAGTGTAACTGCACTGACTCTGCGGGTAGCTGCTTCAAGGGGCAGCTTGGTCCTGGAGAGCCTCTGACATACAATGGCAGAGAATTCTATGTGGTGGGAACCAGGTAAGAGAATGGAGGATGCTTCCCTTTTAAAACTGGCAGATCAGGAACCTGGTTGCGGGATCCCAGGGGAAGAAGCAGCCCTGCACTTTCAAGCAGGAGCTAAGCCTGGGTGCACCAGAGGTGAAGGGAGAAGATCACTCAGTGCCCGTGGCCATTCACCCCCAGCACAGATAGCTGAGACTCCATAGCCTCTTCCAGGTGTAGCCCAGAAGCTCAGAGTCCTTGGCAAGCTGCAGTGCTCCTGGAAGCACAGGGAACCTGTGCTGGATGAGTCCCCTCTGTGGGCGAGCTTGGTGACAGGCTGCAGCATTGTGTCTGCCCTGCTCTTGGATTGTGCAGCCCAGATAACCCCAGAGTAGATCTTTGCTGTCCAGCTCTGATTTCTGCCCCAGCTCATCTGGCTGGCAAGGCAGCAGGGAGCTATGCTAACTGAGGGGTCACAAACCGCTCCATCGCTCACCCAGGAGCGCCACAAAGGAGAGAAGGAGGTAAGTAATTCCCAGCCCTTCCTCTGTCTGAGCAGCACAGTCAAAAAGACCTGGAAAAAAATTCTCTGTCCAGCACAGATTGCAATCACCCAATCCTACCCACCCCATGGATTGCTTCAGAGGAGAGGAAATTTTAATTTTTTAAAATTAATACACTTTTTGTTATTACTGGGTTTTGTTTGTATATATACTTACATCTCTCTTGTGTTCTGCTCTTAATATATTTAATTTTCTTTTTTTTCCTCTTTTTTACAGCTTTCTCCTGCTTTTCCTTTTCTTCTTTCTTTTTAATTTTTATTTCTGCTTCTTTTTGTTTTCCTTTTTTCTTCCTTTCTTTTTCTTTGTTGCTGTGACAAATACCTGAGGAAAAAACTTAAAAGAGGAAACACTGATTTTGGCTCATGGCTCTGGGGGTGTCAGTGTGTGGACAGCTGGCTCCGTTGCTTTGGAATGGGGCCAAGCACAACATCATGGTGGAAGAAAGCTGCTCACCTCACAGCAGCCAGGAAGCAGAGAGGGAGAAGAAGGGGACAGAGACAAATTCAGTATGCAGAGGCATGCCAACGTGACCCACCTCCTTCAACTAGGTTTCACCTCCTACAGTTTCCATCACCTAATAATCTATTTAGCTATGAATCCATTAATGGGTTAATCCACCAAAAAGTCAAAACCCTCATGATCCAATCAATTTCCCAAATCCCCACCTCTTTAATATGGCTGTTTTGAGGGGCCAAGCCCTCAACACATGTGACTCTGGGAAACACTTCATAACCATAATATTCTGCCTCTGCCCCCAAAGTCCCATGTCCATCTCATAGTGCAAAATGCGTTTAGTTTCTTTCCAAAAGTCCTCATAGCCTCAATGGTTCTAGCATTGTTCTAAAGAAAATCAGGGAAGAACCAAACAATATTAATACAGAAGATCATCAAACCTCTAAGATAATAAAACTGAATATAAATAGTCTTAATTCAACAATTAAAAGACTCAGACTGGATGATTAGGCTAAGAATATGCTTCCTTCAAGAAACTTACCTCTCCAGCAAGGACATATACAGAATGAAAGTTAAAAGAAAGGAACATCATATTCCGAGTCAATGGAATTTGAAAGCAAGCAGGAGTAAGTATACTCATAATCCACAAAACAGATTTTAAGCCCAAGTCAGAAGACACAAGAAGATCACTACAGATTGATAAAGGGAACAATTCATTAAGAAGATGTTACAATTATAAACAAACATGCCGCAGTCCGGCTGCAGCAAAATAACCGGGGGGTGACCAACAACTTGTGTACATTGATACAGCAGGAGTAGGAGCCGTTTATTGTAGGACAACAGAGGTATTTATACATTCCACACAGCTTATCTAATTAACATAAACTAGATACAGCAGTCAACCAATAAGGAATCTCCACACTTAATGGCTCGCTGGCGTTACTTCACAAACCACTCCCTCTGGCAAAATGCCAGGCGCCATCCAGACTTGTTTACAGACTCTAACACAAACATGCACAGTTGTTGAAGCACCCAATTTTATATATTACTACTAGACCTAAATAGATAGATAAGTCCCAAAACAATAGTAGTGGGTGACTTCAATACCCGACTCTCACCAAAGGTAGGTTATCCAGACTATAGAAGTTAGCAAAGAAGCATCAAAGTTACATTATACTACAGATCAGATGGGCTGAATACAGAACATTGCAGTCAAAAGCAGCAGAATACAGATTCTTTTCATCAGCACATGGAATTTATTTCTAAAATAAATCATACATTTGGCCATAAAGTAAATATTAACCAATTCAAAAATTTGAAATTATTTCTTGCATTTTATCAGTCCATAATGGGATAAAACTAGAAATTGATAGCAATGAAAACTGCAGAAATTACTCAAACCCATGAAGATTAAACAATAAAAATTTGAACAAGAAGTAGGTCATTGCAGAAATCAGGGGGTGAAAACAGAAACACTATCATAAGCTATCATAAGAAGGCAGTTCATAGCTATGCAGTCCAACACTAAATAGAAAGATATGTCAATAAATAATGATTAAATAAATAATGATGTAGCTCAAGACTTTAAAAAAGCAAGAACAAATCAAAACCAGAATCAGAAGAATAAATAATAAATACCAGGAGAAATAAATGAAATAAAGACTAAAATAAAAAGAATGGTCTCTATGAAATAATAAGGTTGATAAATCCTTAGCCAAGCTAATGAGAGAGAGAGAGAGAGAGAGAGAGAGAGAGAGAGAGAGAAACCCCAATAGAGAGAGAGAGAGAGAGAGAGAGAGAGAGAGAGAGAGGTACCCAATAAATAAAAAAATGGGATGATTACAACAGATACCTCTGAAATTCAAAGGATCATGAGGAAATACTTTGAAAACCTGTATTGGAAAAAAAAGCAGAAAAAATTTAGAAGATATGGACAAATTTCTAGACACATCTGACCTACTAAAATTGAATCAAGAAATTATTTAAAATAGATCAACAAAAAGCAATGACATTGAGGCAGTAATAAAGTTTCCCAACGAAGAAAAGCTCAGGATTAGATGGATTCACTGCTGAATTTTACCACTTTTAAATAACATATAGTACTGGTTCTCCTCCAACTGTTCATATTATAGAAAGGGAAATAACCCTTACATACTTATTCTACAAAACCAGTATTATCTACTACCAAAACCTAATAAAGATACAACGAATAAAGAAATCTACAGACCAAATACCCTTGATGAACATAGATATAAAAATCCTCAATAAAATACTTGAATTCAATAGTACAGTAAGAAGACCACATGCTATGATCAAGTTCGTTTTACCCTGGGCATGGAAGGATGGCTCAACATATACAAATCAAGAAGTTTAATATAGAATGTGAATAGGATCTTGGATAAAAATCATAAGAGCATCTCAATAGATAGATGTAGCCTTTGATAAAAATACAACTTCCCTTCATGATAAAGCCTTTAATAATTTTGTATAGCAGGGAAATACCTCAACATAATTAAGGCTATGTATGAGAAACTCAGCCAACATCATACTACTGGATGGGTAAAAACATTTCTTGTGAAATCTGGGACAAGGTAGGGGTGTCTTTTCTCACTATTCTTATTTAAAACACTACTAGAAATTTTAGCCAGAGCAATCAGACAAGAGAAAGAAATAAAAGGGATACAAATAGAAAAGGAGGAAGTCAAATTATCCCTGTTTTCAGATAATATGATTCTTAAAAAAGAATTTTAAAAACCTAAAAAACCCTAAAAATTCCACTAAAAGACTCTCAGAACTGATAAACAAATTCAGCAAAAAGGCAGGATACAAAATCAACACACAAAACTCAATTGCTTTTTTATACACCAACAGTAAACTTGCTGAGAAGGAAATCAGGAAAGCATTCCCATTCATAGTAGCCCTAAAATAAACAAATAACAAACAAACAAACCTAGGAATCAACCTAACCAAGAAGGTGAAATAACTGTATATTGGAAATCACCAAGTACTGAAGAAAGAAATTAAAGAAAACACTAGAAGATGGAAAGACCTCCCACATTCATAGACTGGGTATATTAATATTGTTAAAATGGCCCTCCTACTGAAAATGAACTACAGATTCAATACAATTCTCATGCAAATACAAATGACATTCTTCATAGAAGTAGACAAAGCAACCCTCAAATTTATACAGAAGCACAAAAGATCCTCCAAAAGCCAAAGCAATTGTTTTAAGTCGGATCCTGTGTTGCTCTGACCAAAGGACCTGGCAAGAACACTAAAAGGAGGGAAGTTTATTTTGGCTCATGGTTTCAGAGTTGCAGTCTATAGTTGGTCAACTCCAGTGCTCTGGGCCCGAGGTAAGGCAGCACATCGTGGTAGAAAGGTGTGGCAGAGAAAAGTGGCTCAGGACCTGGCAACCAGGAAACAGAGAGAACTCCTTTGACCAAGAACAATTATAAACATCAGAGGCATGTCCCTTTGTGACCTACTTTCTCCAGCCACTCACAGTTTTGCCTGCAGTTACCTCCAGGTTAATCTATAGCAGTGGATTAATCCATTGATTAGTTTATATCTGTCATAATGTTAATCATTAAGCTTCTGAATATTTTTGCATTGTCTCACACATGAGATTTTGGGGGACACCTCATATCTAAACCATCTAGGAAATCCTGAGCCAAAAAAATAAAGCCTAATTTCAACTATACTACAGTGTCATAGTAACAAGAACAAAATGGTATCGGCATATTGGCATAAAAACAGACGTGTAGGCCAATGGAACGAGGATCCAGAAATAAATCCCTGTATTTACCAGCAACTGATTCTCAACAAAGGGGACAGAAACACACATTGAAGAAAGGAAAGCCTCTTGAACATGTGGTGCTGGGGAAACTGGATGTCCACATGCAGAAGAAGATTGGAATGAAACCTCTCCTCACCCTGCATGAAAATGAACTCAAGATGGATCAAAAACCCTTAGGCAAAACCCCCCAAATTGAAACTACTAGAAGAAAACATGAGGGAACACTTCATGACCTTAGTACAGGCAAAGATTTCCTGAAGAGAAGGAAACAAGGGCAAAAATTGGCAAATAGGGTTACATGATCCACACCGCAAAGGAAACCAGCCACAGAGGGAAGAGCCAACCCATAGAGTAGGAGGAAACCTTTGCCAGCTGTCCATCTGGGAGTATTGACATTCCAAAGATTTAAAGACTAAAAACAACAATGATAAGTTAAAAGAATAAGTAATCTAATTTTAAAAAGTGGGCAAATGAGCTACCAGACACCTCTCAAAAGAAGTAGAACTGGCCAATGAACGTGTAAAAGAATGCTCAATGTCTTTAGCCATCGGAGAAAGCAAACCAAAACTCCATAGAATCCATCTCACCCTGGTCAGAACGGCTTTTCCAAACACACACACAAACAAAAAAAAGATAACAAGTGCTGGTGAGAGAAAAGAACCCTTATCCACTGCTGGTGGGATTGTCAGTCAGTACAGCCACTGTGGAAAGCAACGTGGAGGTTCTTCACAGAACTAAAAATAGGGCCACCATATGATCCTGTTCTGCGGCTCCTGGGTCTGTGCCCCAAGGGAAGGAAGTTAGCAAGCAGAAGAGACCCATGTGCCCACGTTCACACAGTCACGTTGTGGATGAGTCTAGGTGCCGGCCTATAGTGAAGGAATGAAGACAACGTGGTGTATGTACACAATGCACCATTATCCAGCCACGAAGAAGAAGAACAAATCGTGTCATTGGCAGGTAAATGGATAGAACTGGAGGAAATTGTGCTAAGTGAAACAAATCAGACACAAAAAGATAAGTATCACATGCTTTCTCGCATATAGGAACTAAAACCAAACAAACGTCAAAGTAGAAGAGGCACTTTTAGGACCAGGGAGATGGGGAGAGAGGGCAGTCACAGATGGTGGGAGGAGGGAGGATGAACACGATACATGCACGGGTGGAAATTTGGAACAAACCCATCAAATTGTACAATAAATACATGTTAATAACAAGAATTAATTCAAGCACCCTACCAAAGGGACTCATCTTCCTAAAACCTTTGCAAGCATTCACAAACTAAGGTAATCTCTTCCTCATTTGCACTCCTTTATCATGTCCTTCATGATCAAACCCATGTCATATTCCAGGTGTCCCACCGTGAAGCCAACACAAGTGCTAATACAGAATGCTGTGTGACGGGTGGCATATGCACCACAGCCTTCTCTCCATGGTGGAGGGTGGGAAGTCTAACACCGCAGCCCCGGGTGGCTCAGCACCTGGTGAGGGCCCACTTCTGGGCTCCTAGTTGTCCATTTTCCCACAGTGTCCTTACGTGGCCAGAGTGAAGGGGCTCTGTGCAATTTGTTTTTTAAAGGCACCAACCCCAAACATGAAGGCTCCGTTCTCATGACCTAAACCCCTACCAAAAGTCCTACCTTCTCATAATATCTTATTAGGAATTATTTCAGTTTTTGAACATGGGGGACACAAGCACTTGGTCTGTTGCCCTGACTTAGGGTAGGCCCCTCAAGTCTGTTTTAGCTCATATGTGCAAGTCTTGTATGAAGCAGGAGAAGGCACCCTGTCCTCCAGATACCTTAATTCCATCTTTTGGAAAATTCTAACATACTGATTCTCTTAGGAGAGGGATATCATAGCCATCTGCAGGAAGAGTTACAAATATGCAAAGCTTCTCTAAGGTGTGTGAGAAGTCCCGTAGACTGCGTGTCACTTTGAATGGTGAGCTGGTTTAAGTTCCTGGGATGTGAGCTGTCCTTGGTCAGGGCCAGGGATGTGCTAGTAAATGCTAAACGGCTGATGCTCTGAGAGGAGCAGGCTAGGCAACCTGGATTGTAGTGTTGGGCGATTTCGAGGTACCAATATGACATCAACTCACAAAATCTGAAAAGTTAACAGTCCGCTTTGAAGACCTGTTTCTGGCCCACCCCAAGCCTGGCTTTTTCAATCCATTTTGCTATCTACAGAACTCAATAAATGTTGAGGAAGCTCTGAGCAATGTCTCGATCCACATCATAGTTGTTGTGCGTTAAAAAGCCAGCAACAGTCTTGGTCCTGCTACCACGGACAGCACACACTCACCAGCTGCTTTATTTTTAATGTTTAAGCATTTGAGCAATATATCTTTTTATGACATCCTCCTTACAGCTGAAGTGCACAAGTTCCTGAGAACACAGCAATTCATTATTAGCTTGCCTAAGGTAAAAATATTACCTATAAATAAACTCTCAGGAAAATGCAGCGTACCAAGTACAGAGAAATCTCAAGGCTGCTTTAT